TATATATATATATCTGATACTCATGTGTATGTATGTGGTTAACAATCTTTTTATAATTACTGTACTTACACGAATCCCTGGAGCTCCTGGAAGACCCTTTTCTCCTTTTTGTCCTAATCCTCCAGGTATACCATGATCACCTATGAATCCCGGTTCTCCTTTTTGTCCTTCTGGTCCCATTTCACCCTAAATATTATTCTAGTTAGAATATAATTTTACATATAATAATATAATGCAGAAACATTGCGATAATATTTTTCTACGTACTTTATCTCCTTTATAACCTGGTTCTCCAGGTGGACCTGTGATTTCCGAGACTCCTTCGAATGGCATGATAGGCGCAGTTGAACCCGGAGGTCCTGGTTCACCTTTTTGACCTTTGTCTCCCTTTAATCCTTCAAATCCAAGACCCATATTTCCTTTTTCTCCTTTTGGACCTAATATGCCAGGAGCACCCTGGATTTATCAAATATATTACATGTAATACAATAATGTATAGAAATACTTTAGAGAAGCAGTTATATTTCAACGGATAATATTTGAGCGATATTTACGTAAGGGCCTCGTTCACCCTTTGAACCAGGTAGACCGCGTTCTCCTTGATAACCAGGAGGACCGGGAGGCCCTCTTACACCATCCATACCAGGTTCACCCTTTTGACCCACTGGAAAAGCACCAGCATACGCTGGTTGACCCTTTTCTCCTTTAGGTCCGGGTAGACCTCGAAGACCGCGAGGTCCTGGTTCTCCAGGTACACCATCACGACCACGTTCACCCTAAAAAACATATATAAATTATAATGATATAATAATAACTTATAATCACTTTTAATAAAATTGTTAGAAGATAATTATTATAATATTAAATGTACAACTTTGCTTCCGCCGTTTTCCCATAGATGGCTTTAGCGATAAATGGTGATCGAAATAAATAGATCATAGAATAAACTTGGGCATCTGTCAACATAACCCCATAGAAACATTAGTCGATTTGTGTCTGCATCATAAAGTTATTCTCGATTGAAAATGTCAGTTTACGAGCCAAATTCTCGTCATTTGCGGGAGGTTTTAATTTTTTGCTTCAATATGAAGAAATCTGCGGTTGAGGCTCATCGAATGCTCTCAAATACTTATGGTGAGGCCGCTATTAATGAAAGAATGTGTCGTGAGTGGTTTCAACACTTCAAGAACGGTGATTTTGACGTCCAAGGTCATGCTCTGTATTTGATGAGACCAGCTCGGCGTAGTGTATTATGAACTGTTAAAACCGACTGAAACAATCACAGGCGATCGGTATCGAACGCAATTGATGCGTTTGAGCCGAGCATTGATAAACAAACGGCCACAATACAACAAGAGACACGAGAGATAAAGTGATTTTGCAGCATGACAATGCTCGACCCCATGTTGCGAAAGTCATGGTCAAGACATACTTGGAAATGTTGAAATGGGAAGTCCTACCCCACCCGCCGTATTCTCCAGACGTTGCTCCCTCTGACTATTACTTGTTTCGATCAATGGCACACGGCCTGGCTGAGCCAGCACTTCCGGTCTTATGAAGAAGTAAAAAATTTGATCGATTCGTGGATAGAATTTCAAAAAGATGACCAGTTTTTTCGACGCGGGATTCGTACGCTACCCGAAAGATGGGAGAAAGTAGTGGCCAGCGATGGACAATACTTTGAATCATAAATGTATAACCAGTTTTTTACAATAAAGCCTCGAATTTCGGAAAAAAAACGGCGGAAGCAAAGTTGTACACCTAATATAATAATCTTATGTATGAATTATTTGTAATATCTCTTCAATTTTATAACTTTCATATTTTTATATTTAAAATATATATGTGATAAAATAATAAGTACAAATTAAGCAAATTAAGAAATGTAATTACGTTAAGATTTTCATGACTTGTACAAAATACTTACATCCGTTCCATTACAACCATCACGACCGGGAACGCCAGGAGGACCCGGAGGTCCTTGTACTCCAGGTACACCGTTTATACCGGGAAAACCAGGCATACCCATTTTTCCCTTTAATAATATAAAATTATTTTTATAGGGAGAGAGAAAAAAAATTTTAATATATTAAATAATATTATAATTTTATTAAAAATACGTACTCTGTCACCTTTCGTACCGTGTGGACCTTGTGGACCAGGATCTCCCTTCTCACCTTTGGATCCTAGAAGACCTTCTGCTCCTGGAAATCCGCGTTGTCCCTTAGGTCCTTGCGGTCCGATTATTCCTGGTGGTCCCTTAAGTGAGTATATTACAATAAATTAAACGTTTAAAACTCTGGAAAATCACATTTAATGCTATTAGCTGTTGACAAAAGGACATAGATTTTTAATCTATCGTAAAAATAAAAGAATGTTCATGACAAATGAAAATATTCTTATAAAGCATGTACAAAGATTGTTTGCGAATTGTATAAAATGAAATGCAAGATTATCTATTTTCACAAAGTTTATGTTTGAATATTATAATTATCGCTTTAACATCTTTAATATTTTATTATCAATTTTTAAACCAACCCGTGATCCCTTCTCGGCGAAACACTTGGGCGCGCAGCATCCTGATCCGGTACAATTTCGCGGTGCTCCGGGCATAGGTACTACTTGGTAATTGCTCGGATAATTTTCGTCATCTCCAGCGGCACCGTAACCCCCATAACCGCGGCCACGACTACCGTAAGCGTCATCGCTTCCACGACTGCCGCCGTAAATTTGTCCACTTCCGCGACTCCCACCATAAGCACTTCCGCTTCCACGACCATAGGAATCCGCACTTCCCGCACCATAAGTTCCTCCATAACTATTACTATAAGAATCACCAGAATTTCCTTGACTGTAGCTATAAGAACCTCCTCCTCGCTCACTTTCACCGGCACCTAAAAAAAAATTACGAACGAATTAAAATTAAAATTATATCCAAGCGATTTATTGAAAGATTTATTGAAACGATAAATTAAATATCTGCGTACATATTTCTACTGAAAATATTTTTTTTATAAATCTATATAATATGCATATTTTAAATGTTTAAAAATTATAGAAAGAAAAAACATTTTTACCAAAAAATTAATTTAGTTTCATAATATTTTGAACTACAAACTGTTTCCTATATACTTTTTTTCTATAATATTATAAATATTTAAAATATTTTTCTTATGCCGATCTCAAATGAAACATTTATTTTCTATAATTTGCAAGATTGATTACCACTGTATGTATCGTAATCGCCGTGATTATCGAGGTAACCGCCTGATCGATTTTCGTCAATTCCGAATCCTGGCGTGCCGCCGCTGTCAGGATATCTGTCATAGCCCGGCGATGCTCTATCGTAAGGAAATCGGCCCGAAAAAGATTGACCATGAGGATCGCTTCTGTTTCTGTTCCAAAAGAATGGGAGATGGGCCCTTTCGTCAGGACTGTAATTACCAGACGTGAAACTGCCGTTCCGCCTTTCCGCATCCTCGTATCCTAGACATGCCAATTAACGAACGTAATGTCGGAATTCTTGATAGTTGTTTCCGACATTTATCCCTATTACGAATACTATCAAATTTTAGGGAACAAAAAAATAATTCGTTGCACGCGACGCAATTGATAGTCCGCTCGAAGATGAATTGTCTGCACGAAACAGTATTGAAGCATATTCCGTTTTTTAACTCTAACTTGTCCTCTTACATAAAATTAATTAGCTCAACAAATATGTTCTTCATAAAAAATCTTTTATAACTAATTGAGTAAAAAATATAATTATGAAGATGCAATATCTCTATCGTAAAATCTACAATCCAGTTTTTATATTGTCGGATGACATAAGGATACTGGATGGGAAAGAAGGACGTAATTATTGTACTTCCTCCTATTTCTCACATAAATCATAGCAGCGAAAAGCATGAGGCGGCATGTTGTCCAAGTACCTTCGTTGTCCGTAATAAACCCTTTGCCTAAATATTTGATATCTGGCGAACTGCCGTAGTCATCATCGCTACCGTTTGTAGGCCTTCCGATATCACCTCGTTCCAGCGGCACGACCGGTGGTGGATTCGGCCATGATGTGTGATTTAATTGCTAAAACAAATATTCGAGAATGAAAAGGAAAGGCTCCATAAATGGAATCGGAAAAGTACTGGAACATCAGTGCGATCAATAAAACGCGATATCAGATACGTTTGTGTAAAAGGTATGTGATGAAAACGAGTTACAAATCATTTGTCAAACTTTAGAAAATACGAGTTTTATTGTAATAAATTTATTTTCTGTAAGTTTTTAAAAGATTTATTTTCTTAAAAACAAAAATAGAAAAGTAAATAGAAAAAATGAATATAACACTTTCTGTTGAAAATTGTTAGAAAGATAAATTGAATTTGTTAATTCATACATTATTCAAGATATTGTAATTACAGAGTGTGTCTCAAACTTTGCATCCAAAATCAATTTGAAGTTAAAGAATCTTATTACATGAGAAAAATAAATATAGGTTTTAATTTATTTCTATATAACAAAAAATTGTACATATTTATTTATGTATTTTTTGATATATATATATGTTAATATAAGAATGTAAATTTAAATTAAACTCACCTAATTATATCACTCATAAAATTAATTACTGTATGTATCTTGATCGTAATTTTAAGAGGATTTTACAGCGAAATTACTCTTAGAAACTTGTGTGAATAATGATTAACGTTAAAGATAGCCTCGTGTGCACTTATTAAAATTATTCTTCGTAGATTTATAGACATGCGTTCTATGACACAAACGACGTGGCCATAAATTTTTAACGAGCTCGCATTTCTGTGGCTAAGATTTACGTTTTATCCACCGAGTGCATTGTTCTTAAAGTCTCATGGCGAGCGGTATGATGATACAAAAAGAGCTACTTTATCGACCGTTTGTACGAGTCTAAAGAGAAGATAAAACCATGGCGTTAGTGGTTACTTCTAATGTTCACCGTTCCTTTTTTCCTTCATTTTTTATACTTAACGACCATTTCAAGCAGGATTAATTATGTTATCAGATCGGAACATGCACATTATTGAAAACCTTGTTTTACAACTAGAAAAACGCAACTTAGTTTAGATAATTTTATAGAAATGAATAATTTTAAAAAAATAATAAAATTCCAGTCGAAACTTTAATTAATTAGATTTCCAAAAGTGATGATTATGAATTATGGCCTTTTAATTTACTTAAATTTAAAGAGCTGCATTTGCACAAAATTATATAAAAGAGCTAATAAATTATATCTTATACGTTGTTTCTAATTATGCATATATTATTTCAAAAATATTGTTAAAGTATAATATAATTTAATAATACTATAAATAATTATAATTATATATTATTTCATTATGTATTAATCAATTAATATTAAAAAAACTTTGAAAATATATTTACAGTTGATATACATATTATATTGACCAAAATAATAAAATCGAATCTATTTAATTACTTGATAAAAATGTAATATATTTATTAGTTGCTTTGTATAATTATCTTCAGTTTCGTATAATAATAACAATATTTAAATATTACAAAAAATAAATCAAATGAAAACGAAATTATGTAGTGGAAAACTGAAATAATAGCCTTTATAGTTAATGAAAAGAAAAAGACAAGTGTCGGTTTTCATCTGCAAAAAAACATCGTTTTGCAGCTACGCAGTGTTAACAGATTTTGCAGTAAATGCGTCATCGTTTTCCCAGAAAGTCATTGTCTTGCCCTCGTTTTCACGTTTTTGTCCTTTTTTTTCGTATTCTCGAGGATGGCACGCGCTGACAGGAAGCGCGGGGAGATAGTCGGTTATCGTTCCGAGATGACGTACCGCCCTCGGAGTGGCTGCGCGTCTGTGTCGCACATGCACCACGTACGACGATAGAGAGACAACGAAGATAGTATCCTTTTAAAATTTCATTCATCTACGTGCAACCATGACTCGAAACACAATCAGCAGTCGCGTAGATATAAGAAATCACTAAAGCCCAAATCGAATAACTGATCGCAAGCGTGAGAGTTAAAAATTTCTATACAATTGAAGAACTCCAAACCTCATGTGATAAAGATTGCAATTTACAATCACACATGCGAAAACTTTTTAATTCCAGACTTGAGATTTATTCTAGATTATACAATCTAAAGATATATCATGTCAAAATAAATGTTCTAGGTTAAAATTTAAAGATCTCGTGTAACGAAATAGATTTTGTGATCAAAAATATCAGAAAAGGAAATCTTAAGATTATATATAAAACAATGACTGCGTTCAGCAGAGAAAGCAACTTTGTAATTGCTTTAAAATTTTTTATAATATAAATATTATTTTTAATATAATTGTTACCTTCAGTTTTTGCATTTAAATGTATAAGTAAATCATATTAAAAAAACAACAGTTATAAATCAGCTTTTTTTGTTGAATGCAGGCATTATCTTCGAATCCTGGTGTTATCCTTGAATTACTTATTCGAGAATAACCAACAATCAAATGGAACTTACTTACTTAAAAAAATCTGTAATTTAATAAATAGTTAAGGATAAAAAAACTAATCAATTCCACTTCATAAAAGCAATCGTAACATTCTCTTATTGCAAAGTGTCGCAAATTAGAATTCCTCTCAAATTATCTTGCATCGATTAATCGTAGATTAATTATTCACTGAACATTAATCCTGGATCTAATTTCGTCCTAATTTCGATTCAAGTGGATTTAATCCATCATGAAGTCCAGTGATACACAAGTTCGTATATCGCGCAAACAGCTCGCGTCAAAACTGCAACTGAAATTGTCGATTCTGTCTCCTTCTTTTTTTCTTTCCTCCTCTCCTTCTCTTTTCTTTATTATTTTCATTTTATTATTATCATTTTTATTTATTGTATTATATTATTTTCATTCTTTTTTTCTTTTTTTTGTATTTATTGTATCTATTTTTCTCTTTGTTCTGCCTATATGTTCTTATTATTATTATTTTTATTTATTGTATTATTTTCATTCTTATTTTTCATTCTTATTTTCATTCTTATTTTCATTCTTATTTTCTCTTTTTGTAATTACTGCTATTTTTTTCTTTGTTTTGAATATTAATAAATCCTTTATCTGTCTATGT